TAGTGCCCATTGACACCCTGCTTTCGTCTGAACAACCATCCTCTACTTCGCAAGCTCAAGATGACGTAACCCATGCCCTAAGAGCACGCGTGGTAGACCTTGCTCGGTTATTGTCACCGCAGAGAGCACAGAAGTCTCTTTACGACCATTGACATAAAGATGCCGTTTTTTTCTGTGGGCTCTCCTGTCCTCTTGTGGCACTCATCTTGACGTGTTGGCCACTGCAAAAAACAGCTATCATGATGCATCGGGCCCTATAGAGCCCTTCGTCAGGTCACACCTGTGACCTATAAGATTTTCGAAATACAAACTCGTCGGCTGCTACACCCAGAATTGAAGTAGTCCACGTTTCTTGTCTTAAGCCCTACAACGTTGACCAGCGCATTTACCAGGCACCGAGATGGTGCCTTACTGGCCGGGGTAATCATAAGTGCACAGAGCTGTCGCTCCGGTGCAAGCATTTAAATGACACTCAAATGCAGAAAGACGACAACGTGGTTCCCGTGGAATGGACGCTCCAGCTACCCTGTTCGCCAGCAGTACTGTGCTCTCTGTACAGTGTTAGCTAGACCCACTGTCAGCGAATAGATCTTCCGCGTAAGATGTTGTAGGCACTGTACTTACTTACAGCGCAACACCAGAACAAATACAGGACAGGGAAGGAGTAGAACAGAAAGAAAAGACAGCGCTGACTCACAACTGTTGCTTATTGAAAAAAAAACAGGGTTTTTCACCCTGTTTTTTTTCAATAAACAGCAGTTGTGAGTCAGCGCTGTGTTTTCTTTCTGTTCTACTCCTTCCTTGTCTTGTATTTTTTCTGGTGTTGTGCTGTAAGTAAGTTCACGATGGATCCTAACCAACTGGCCCAACTTACCGTCTTACTACTGTACTTACTTTCACAGCTGTAGCCCTATACCTTAATTTCATGTCATCAAGCCAAAAGAACAAGAACACCACTCCTATTTTGGTGCTATCTTTCAACAATGCACGAAACATGCACTTTCTAGGTGCCAGGCGCAGCACCTTCGTGGGAAGCGATTGCTTCAAATACACGAGCAGTGAAGGACGTCACGAGAACAGTACTGCCAGTCAGGTTTTGCTTGATGGGTGTCTCTCAAAAATCCTGGGTTTGAGAATGCTGGTATTGTTGGTGGTTATGGTGGAAATAATGCTGGATATGATGGAAGCTGTAGTGGTCATAGTGGCTTATGACGGCGAGAGTGAAAAAAAAATGGTGGCAGATGGGGGTGGTGGTGGCGAATCAGTGGTGGCGACAGTGAAAAATGCCCGCAGATGGTGGCGATTCAAAACATTTTTGAAGGATGACTCGTTTAACAATCTGGGTGACGGTGGCATGATGAAAGCTTGGTGGATGATGATGGCATGATGAAAATGCAGATGGCACTATGTGCAATCACTTGATAATTCCTAGTGTTTCATTCTGAAATGCACAGAGAATTGTGTTCACGGCCGAAAGAAGCCAACGCCGCTCAAAACGCTTTCTACCACGTTTTTTTTTCCAGAGGTGTCAACAACGCTTCAATTTTTGTGGAGCGTAGATTGTGGCCGTGAATGTTTACATTTCGTACGCGTACACATTAGTTTCACATGCGCGATGTGGTGCTTTGTTGGGATGTTAAGATTACTAAAGCCCCGCCGCGGTGGTCTAGGGGCTAAGGTACTCGGCTGCTGACCCGCAGGACGCGGGTTCCAATCCCGGCTGCGGCGGCTGCATTTCAGATGGAGGCGGAAAAGTTGTAGGCCCGTGTGCTCAGATTTGGGTGCACGTTAAAGAACCCAGGTGGTCAAAATTTCCGGAGCCCTCCACTACGGCGTCTCATAATCATATGGTGGTTTTGGGACGTTAAACCCCACAAATCAATCAATTAGATTACTAGAAGTGTCACAATGAAAAGCGACAGTAAACGTGTTACATCGCCGCGTAGTTGTCGAAAAATGAATGAGCTCCAGTTCGCAATTGCCCCTTTCAACGGCAGAGCAGAATACAGCGGTCACTTGATGCGCCCATGCTAGAAACGCAACTCTGACAATTCTGGAAGACCCAATTACTTGAGCCGTACTTTTAGGTTAATAGAGTGCGTGCGACAATAATATGCATATACTTCTACCTTCGGCATACGTCGAGACGTGTCCCAGCGAGTTCGACTTTCCCCCTTCTGTTCTACCACCATGCTTTTCTCCAAAGGTACGCCTACCAACCGAGCCCGTACATGTGTTAACAGCGCTTCTGGGTTTCAGAACACACAATTTTGAGGAGTAAGAAGTACAATACAGCACAGCCATTGCATCATTCAACCTAAATGTAGCATTTTTGATAGTGCACAGTACTCGCGCAAAATGCGACAAACATCGGTGCGACGTGGTGCCAGAACTTCTTGCAAACGTACGCCTCACGTCACCGACAGACGCTGGTCGCACTCGCCGGCACTTCTCTGGCTTCAATGCGGAAACACAGACCCCTCCATTCATATTTTTACTGAACCAATGTACTTCATTAGGCCTTCTGCGCACTGCATTTGTTTTGGCCAAGCCATTATGTAGCTGTTGATAACGATACAGCTACGGCTGTGCGCTGGGATGACTGTGCTGTAAGTTACACGGAAAACATCACATTGCTCAATCACTTTTGTGGGCGTATTTATCAAATGAACTCACAGGCGTCATAAATCCAGAGGAGAAGTCGTCCTTTAGTACGAACGAGAAACGAATAATAAACTTGACAGTAACTGCCAGTGAACTGTACATGCTCCTTAGTCCAGTTCGTTTTTTTTTTCTGGCGGTTAGGAATTGTAGGAAAAAAACATAGCACTGTTGCGATTACCACAGTTGAAGCCGTTCTAAGCAGCAGTTCTTGGTGTTTCATAAATCTGACAGTTTTAGTAGCAGGTGCAGATTCTGTCTACCTGGAGTAAGCAACAAGCAAAACTAATGTTGAATGGTGAGTTCGTAAGTTTAGTGGCATTTTAACAGCAAACGTCCTTCAAGTCGGCATGGAGCACTGATTAGCGTGTTCAGTAGGAAACCAGATCATCGCACGTTCGAATTTTCGTGCTAACATTTTTTACGGAGGCTTTCTGCATCATTTTCTACAGAATTATTCTTTTTCTTTTTTTAGTGTCAGTTCATCGTGGTGGTTTTGACGCCGTTTCACGCTTCAGCATTGCCGGCATTCCATCATCCACCACGTGACACCATAACATTTGCCACCAATATTTCCAGCACCATATCCGCCAAAACGGTGGATGGTGGAATCTACCATTCCTATGGTGGACGTTTTTAATGGGGGCCTCTTTAAGAGAGACAAATGAATTTATTCAGTCAATAGTGTTTATCCACAATCAAAATTTGGCGCTGGTTCACACAATTGATCCCGCGACACGCCCTGTATTTGGTTCGTGATAGCCGTGCATTCAACGCAACATCGATTGAATAATTGGGCAACTAAACGAGACATAACAGCCCTTTTCTTAGAGAAGCCGGGCGCGTTATCTTGTGGTACCATATATTTTTTACGAAATCTCTGAAATTGTTCTCTTTTAGAAGAAAAAAACGAGCACACTTATTTTGACATGTGCTATGTTATATTTGCCGCGCGCCGTGCAAACGCCGACGTATATTAAATGTTGATTCCAAAGAGTGTGAGTTTCAAGTGATATGTAGAGATACGATAATACCAGGCAATACCACTTTTTTACTTTCTCTGAGAACAGCATACCCCATGGAGCTGAAAAGCATAGGCTGTGGAGTATCATAGGCAATGCGACTAGCCCAGGCGCTCTCCCCATCCCCCGTGTATTTTCACGAAGCTTTCGCGTCTCACTGGAAACTGTGTAATTAATCTTGTCGCGTGAGGGCCTGTTTGTCCAAACGGGTAACAACCCTCATGTAGCGTGTGTTGTACGCGGAAGTAAAAGTGCTTCAGCAACGAGCGCGAATGACGCTCAAGAAAACATCTAAAGAAGCTTGTGTTTCCGTGTTGCGAAGGGCACATGCTATACAATCGTTCCACGTACGAGGTCTGGCGTCTCTGACTCATCAGAGAGGAATCTCTTTTGTTGGGTGAAACGAAAGAGCATGATATTGAGCCGCGGAAGTAGGGATGCAGGCATGCGCAAATCAAGCAACAACTGCGAAGTTTCATCATAGGGGCACGCCTGCGGGTGCTGACACGCGTTATGTCACGGAGCATGATCACGCGTCTCGTATACATGGCGTGGTCTCAGCGCTGACTATGTTTGAGACGACGAACTGCACAAAAACTGCGTTTCGTTCGACATTTACTTGTTCAAGGGGCATTCTTGTGAATGTATTCAGCGAATGTAAATTAGTAACTTGAAGTGCACAATATGTTCAAATTTTGCATATATGTGTTCTTGTTGTAGAAACGTTGACGCTGCCGTTCTCTCACATGATGTTCAAAGATAACCATGCTCTCTAACCGTTTGCGGTGCCCACAGTCTGTTCTCTGCAGCCAGTTTCATGAACACAGCAAGGGCCACTGCCAGGCCTTAGTGACCTTTGCTCAGCCATTTTTTTGTAGTTTTAGAGAACATTCTTTTTAACCGGAATAACGTAGAAACATGTTAATCTGGATCCGTAAAATCACGTCAAGTAGGAATGAGAAAACTGGAGTTAGGTGCCTGCGTTGTTTGTATACCATAGCAATGCTTTTGCTATCGCATTCATTGTTTCGGCCTTGTGACGAGTCATTGTTTTCGGTTTTTTTCTAGCATTGTGTTGTCTAAAGCTAGCGTAGCACAAACAAGGCATTCCTGGCCAGTGCTGACAGTATATTGTCGGCTAAGATTCCTGCCGAGGTTCCTCATGACATCGGCTGGATGACGTGACAGTGTTAGGACATTGCCAATACACAGCCAAGAAGTAGCTGCATGCGAGTGTGGAAAGGAGCCACGCCGTATACGTTGTTGTCATCAGCTCATGTTGTCTGTTTCTCATGTTGTCTGTTTCTCTCTGCTCAGGCGAAATCGGCTGGCTGCTTTCATTTTTGTTATGCTCTCACTCGGTTCCTGCGCCATAGCAGCGTGGCAAATATACGGCACTAACATGACGCCATTCATGGTGCTGGTGCAAGGTTCGTACAGGTGAGATAACAAAAGGAGCTGTGTTCTTCTGAAAAACGCTCTTCGCCACTCGATTAAAATGACACAGAGATGAAGGAATGTTGTGACAACGTGTGGACAGCCTATGGGAACGTTTTATTGAAAACCCCGCCACGGTGGTCTAGTGGCTAAGCTACTCGGCTGCTGACCAACAGGTCGCCGGATCAAATCCAGACAGCGGCGGCTGCATTTCCGATGGAGGCGGAAATGTGGTAGGCCTGTGTGCTCAGATTTCGGTACACGTTGAAAAACCCCAGGTGGTGGAAATTTCCTGAGCCCTCCACTACGGCATCTCTCATAATCATATGGTGGTTTTGGGACGTTAAACCCCACATATCAATCAAATGAACGTTTTAATGAAAAGTAGACATGGTGTGCATGCTGATAAAGAGTGGCAGTGAACAGCTGGAAAGAATTACTGATACAGTAAATATGAGAGTGAAATTTACTTCTAAAACGTTATAATAATATTTGTGTCTTTATAAACTAAATGCACATCAGAGGACGCATCGTGTCCGACGCAGCAGGCAACACCTGACAATATAGTAATTTACAAAATAATCATAATACATGTTCGTTCCAATGAAACAATAAATTTATCGCAAAAGGCGTGCTGTCATTATCTTTGTTACGCCCAGAAATCGCCCCGGGCTTCCTAAACATCTGTAAAACACTGCACAGAGTACGAGAGGATAAAACTAGGACATATCAGAAAAAAGAAAGAAGACCAACACCACTTCTGCCGTCTCGCCTTGCTTCGTGTCGTCAATATAAGATCCATGTTTGTGCTGAACTATTCTACTTTAGAACATAGGTCACGTCTTTATAGTAGCTAGACATGATCTAAATACATGTATAAGGTTGACGTGTTAGACATCGTAACTGCATAAACCACCTGCTGTAGTGAGTGCTCCTGTTGCCGCTTCCAGGAACCACAAAGAAAAAAAATCACTCCTGTACATCACTCCTTTTCACTCCTCCTCCATCACTCCTCCTGTACATCACTCCGAGGATTTGAACACTAGTGTGTTTAAATCCTCGTTTTCTGATTTTCTTTAAAGCAACAACGTTGGACATAGTGCAGAATTGCACAAGATAAAAGTTCGTGGAGCTAAATTTTCTAGCATGAAATAAAATAGCACAAAAACATCATCACTCAAAACACAAAAGACACTTTATTAGGAAAAGTGCAAAGGCACCCATCTTTCAAAAGAAAAGCTGTACGATGTTAATCAGTAGGCAAACCGATGTGGGATGAGAGTGAATGAAGTATGAAGTGGCGTTCCGCGTGACACATATGCACGCATATATGATGGTGAAAGGGCACTTTTTGTTATGCCGTAGGAAATGCCGGTCCGGGAGTGTAAATAACTGAACTACAATGATGTACAATCACTCCTTCTTTTTAAGTGAAACTTAAGTAAGTCAGATGCCATACTACGTCGTTAACAATTTTTTGGCGTAGGTAGGGGTAACGTTGCCCAAAAATATACAAATGGTAACTTGTCAGCAATATTACGTACCAAATGCGTTTCTGAAGATTTATTCATCTTAGCGAGATTATTCAGAATCGGAAACTTCACACTTTCAACGTTATACCTCAGTCTCTTCAGTCACAAATTATATGCTGTCGAAAACGCGTCAAATCCACGTGCTTTAACTCCAATGAACTCAGTATTACGTTCCAAGCAAGATAATGAAATGAAGCGATGTTTTGTGTGAGCTTTAGTTGTTGGAGTTAATAAATGTGTAAACAATTAGCTACTTATTTTGCCACCAGCAAGCTTGAGTTCCTGCATAAGAAGAATACACTTTTAGAGTGGAAATGTATGCACAGATGGTTTTCAGGTTGTATTTGTTCCGAGTGAAGAAAAATATTTTTCACATTCGTCCTGAAAAACGCCATGTGCATCAATCGTTGAACATGGCTGTGTATCCAGCAAAATGATCTTCTGCAGCAATACGTAGCATTATGAAGTTAAATGATGGCCAGTTGTTCACTCGAGAAGCCTGCACTAGTGTGCACATTAAGTCTCAAGCCATTGTGTTGGGGTTTATTGTCCGAAACCCAATATATTGTTATGAGAGACGTCGTAGTGGAGCGCTCCGAAAGTTTCGACCCACTGGGATTCTTTAACGCGCACCTAAATCTAAGCACTCGGGCGTCAAGAATTTCTGCCTCCATCAAAAATGTGGCCACCACGGCAAGGATTGGGTCCAGCGACCTAGCGTGTACATTTGTACACACTGGGAATGAAAGACCGCATCTGAAGCTTCAAAGAAAAATAAGCTTCAAAGAAAAATAACCTTAGTTAGCGTTATACAGGCCACGCAACAAAGACGTCATACAAAATTCGATGCACCACCATGACAAGGCACTCGGAAATACAAATTGAAACATATCTCAATTGATAGCAACGCCACTTGGCGTAAGATCTGTGTTCTTTCTTTGTAGAGTGCATTATATGAAACTAAGCAGTAAGTGTATAATATTATGGCTGATAGAACCTGCAAGAAAACTATTCCATCACGAAATAAGCAAACATAGTCAGGTGATAGAAGTTAATAAACAGGTACTTTAAAAAAATGTGCAAGGTTTACGTTTCATAGTTGGTACCAGCAATATTTTAACGACAGTATTGTATTGTCAACACACTCATAACTTAAGAATCAGAGAACGCTGAAGGCTCCAAAAGAAGGCAGTATGAAGCGCTACTTGATTGTCGGTGAATCATGAGCTACCTTACTACGCGCGTTCTTAGCCTTGATCAAACGATGTAATATACAAGTGTACAATGTTACTTTTATAAGGCTTTGAATGGTTGTGAAATTCTATGAACACACTTACTAAAATAGCAAAAATCAATGCTCTTAGATGGACAAGCAATTATTTTTCAGCCTATAGCGGCTAATCATCGCAAAGGGTACAAAATATTGTGATCGGGCCAACTAAACATTTGTTTTGTGTTACAGTATCAAAGTTGATCGGCCGCTGTGTAAAAGCGGTGCTTTGTCACAGATCGTCTTGCAGACAAAATTATGGAACCACTTCTTTTGTCTCCCTTACATTAAAATCGCGTACGTTGTGTTTGAAATGTTTCTGCCGTCATGCGGTACCCTTTTCTGTACCATAGAAACTGCCGACAGAGAGTGACTAAACAATAGAGAACTCCTGGTGTTATCGAGCAAGCCAGACTCATGTCAAATACATAAATAGGGACACTTACAATAATCCATACCTTCACTACCTCCTATTTTCTGACAGCACTGTCATAGACACGATGAACCACTACTACATGCTTCCGTTCTACCATGGAGTCTGCTTCTTCTCTGGATGCATCACGTTTCTGATCGTAGAGCAATACGGCAAGGCCAGCATTTCGAAGGTGAGCTAATTTACAAAGAGTGCAATAATCAGTCCGTTTACAATGCAGGATTGAATATTGTTGAATATGTTACAGCCGCTTGCATAATTTCGGCAATACGTGAAAGCAACTGCTGGTGCCTGAATGGAATGTAGTTGAAAAACAGTCAAAGGGCGTTGAAACGAAGCCAAATTTCTTTGTTAGCACAATTAGTCGCTTTATTTCATTGTGAAGGTGTCCCAGGCCGGCCTCGTTTGAGTTATTGCTTGGATCGCACATAATACAAGCACCAACTTCACCAAAATTTCTTCCTTATAATTAAAGGCAGATAAAACAAAGCTGCAAATTCATTCACTTTTTGATTCATTCATTCAATCACTATTCCTTAAAAGAACAAAAAATTATCTTGGCTTTTTACAAGTGATGCACCTTCTCTGCACAAAGAACAGATGCAAAAGAACAAAATAGAAAAAAGCAAAGGGATGGTGAGACAGCAATGCAAAAAAAGAGAAAAACCAAATTTTTATTGCGTGTATTACATGCACCAAGGTCAGAGGAAAAATTTAGGTTGGCATAAAAAACAGAAGAATTGCGCACACTGACGGGAAGCAACAAGAATTTTACACTGGTCTGTGAACGCAGACACAAGAAGTGGGTTAGATAATTGAATGATATGTGGGTTTTAACTTCCCAAAACCACCATAGGAATTGTTTGAGAAGTGGCGTATTCAAGAACGTTTCTAATTACTCAAATACATTGCAATATCGCAAGCTAGATAGAAAACTAATTTTATAAATGACACCATTAGCGTGTATTTGTTTGCCAGTTGCACTGTGAGGGGCAAAAAAGAAAGGTTGCTTGCTGATGACAGCCGACAAGCTGGGAAAAAAGCGAACGAGTTAGGCCGGATTGCAGTTTGGTGTATCTTCTGGCTATTCTCAAGGAGCCAGAATGCCATCTAAACGTTCCAAAGCAGCATGGTCATTTACCTTTATCGCCAATGTTGCAGCCGAACAGAACAGACGGCGATAATATACGAGCGCAGTTTTCGTTGTGCATAATAAATAATACCATTTGGAATAAACTAAACATTAGAAATGAGAGCACGCAGCTTCTTCTCAAAGCACGAGCAAATTGCGAAAAAAATGAATAAATTTTGAAGAATTCAGTGCACTTCTATCTATAATATATAAAGTAGAACAGTGTTTGACAGGTAGAATGATGTTCGAAAATCAAGATAAAATGTAGCTAGAAACAATAAACACAGTCTGTTTTCGCACTGAATCAAAATATGGCACAGGGGCCGATAACGCAAAAGCTGTGGACTGCAGTGGCGAATATATGACGCCTTAGTTCGTACAGCACATAAATGTTGCCTTAACTCATCGTCGCCTTTTCCGTTCCGTCTCTGCGCAGATGCAACTGCGAGCTGACACACCCGATATGCAACAGTGCGCTGCAGCTTGCTAGTGTGGAAAAACACGCTGCATGCGTCGGCTTACACGGCTGAAAAGCTGAACAACAGTAAATTTTGTCGGCATATAATAAAGAAAATATCTCCTAATTGACTAAAATGAAATATCAAAAGTAGCCAAAAACGCCATGGTGTCAACCTGAAATTTTCGTCGCCACACGGTACCGTAAAATAGTGAATATGGCACCGAGTTGCCACCAACGGCAGTCTACACTTTGAGAAAGGCAACATGACGGATCACTGCAGCATCCTTAGTCAAATACACCCCATAGCCTTGATCCCATATTTTTCTCGCACGTTCCTGCTTCTGTTTTCGTACTTTTCCAGAACCACATGTGAATGAAACTGCCTTACTAGTCGTATGATGGATGAATTGCCTTACCAGAAAACCTTATTTGCCCTTTATTGTTTCCGTGCTGCAATTGATATTTTATTTATATCTCTATTTATATAGGTAAATTAACAACCCTGCTTGGACCATGAGCCTGCAGTATTGAATAAATAAATAAAATACAGGGTGAAAACTCAAAAGACGAAAACAGAGAAGAGGCTTGACACACATGAACGCAGCACCCATGTGTGTAAAGCCCCTTCTTTGTATTCGTCTTTTGCAATTTACAGCGAAAGCTGCTATGAGATCAGAACACAGCTCACGTGCGTGGACGGCACCATATTCGCTACTTTACGATACCGTCTGGCGACAAAAATTTCACGTTGACGTCATGGCTTATTTCTGGCTACTTTTGCTATTTTACAGTGGACTCTCTTTTGCGATCAAAACACAACACACGTCCAGCGCCGTATAGTTGTCCGCCACTGCCGCCGCTGGTGTCCGTAACGGATATCTCAGAAATAAAAAAAACTCATTAAATGAAAAACAGCATGGAAGCAATGGCAGTTGAACCCACATCCGCTGCGTGCCAGCCCTGCATTCTAGCACTGAGCCACCCCGGCTATTGCTTCGTGTTTCAAAACTGGCCTTAGGCAGGCTTGATGTCGGGAAAGAAATTGCGCTATTATGAGTAATAAAGCGTTTTATAACATCAAAGGACTACCCAGGTGCCACACTGTGCGAATAGCTTAAAGAGTGGGTCGTCCAATGATCCAAACCATTACAAAAGCTTCTCTTGTTGTCCTATTAACTGTGGCACACACCCATTTAAGGCATGTATATGCTAAATCCTAGGCATGATGTTTTATTTTGTCCAGCAAATGATAAAACCCTCATGAATATTCAGTCCTCTTACATAAAGGACTTCGATAGGAGAGCAACTTTTTAGATCGTTATAAACATTACGCAATATTATGTTCGCTATGTCCATCACGGAGCTCAATTCTGAAAACCCAGCTAGACAGCTGTTTAGATATCAGAAATCGTGTATATATGAGCGTAAACAATGGAAAAAATTGTATTCTTTCACGTTGAAATTTCCAGGCACTCAAACGCTCAGGCTTACTAGCAAAATGCTTTAACTGACACTCCTACAGCAGCATTTTATTAAACTGTAATTTGCTATTTTTATGGAATCATCAAGCCTCGCACCATACTTAAAACTCTATAGAGAGTTCATCAACAGAGCACGTATTGGTAAATGTTGCAGTATTTTATTTACAATAAAGTTCGAACGCTGAGTAAGCACGAGTACTGTGTGTCCTTCTCTTTGTCTTCTAAGACGAATGTAAGGTTGATTTGGAGGTTCGCGCACAAAATAAAAACATAATGACTGAAATATAGTGATTCCAAGCTCTCGTTTTCGCGATTGCTAGAACCGCGTTCGTTAGGACGCTCCAGACGTGGAGGAACGCCAGAACGAATGTGGAATGTGGCGGTACATGGAAGAACGCAACCTACCGCGAAACTCTACACTTAAGCAATGCTCTTCCAAAAGACATTTCGTGCTTAATACCTTTTGAACACGTGGTTGGTGCTGTTACTTCTTTTTGAAGAGCGATTCTATCATGCTCTAGTTAACCTATTCTAGAGTCTGCAGCAGGTTGCCGGACAACATCAACTTCTCGCTTTTGTATCAATTACAGATGACCCAGGTTTCTCTCTGGTGTCTGTGTCTCTTCTGCGGCCTGTATTGCCTGTTCATGAAGATTGAGTGGTACAGCAAAAGTGAAGAAACTAGTGAGACGAAGAAGTTGTTCCATGCTTTCACTGACCGAATTATCTGGTCTGTGTGCGTCGCGTGCGTCACGTTCACCTGCGCAACTGGCCGTGGAGGTAAATATAGCTTCGTTTAGCACGGCTTCCCTTGATATTTCGTAGCAAGGTTTTGAGTTTTTTTTTTTCAGACCACTGCAACAGTGAGTTAATGAAAAATGAACACTGTTTAGAACCTGACTGATCGGTTCTTTAGGAATATAATTAGTTAATACCAGGCTTTTTTTCTTTAAGCTTTACGGTAAATTTGGCAGCCCATACAGCGTTTGCCAAAAGATAACGTGTTGCTAACTATGTCAGAAATTTGACCACTGACAAGCGAGAAAACTGCGCATCCGTCCCTGTATTAGGTAAGGAGAATCGCTATGAAGAATATATGTATAAAGAGCATTTTTATATTGTTACCAGTGATATGACAGTCTTGGTAGTAGTTATCTTTATGTCTTCATTTGAAGGACTGAAAGTGTCGTCCTTTGTATTTCCCAAAACGTTATTGCCGTCTTATTTCCCCTATTCGTTAAATGGTTCACCCCTTAAAATTGAGGAGCAATATAAATCCCTTTGTCCTATATTTTACGAACTTCTGTTTTGGGGGCATCACTATAAAGCGACGTGCTTCTGCGCGAATGCGTGCAACATATCATATTTTACCACTCTTAACTCAATGCCTCTACCTTACAAAAAACCACACCTCAATAAATTCTTTGGTATAGCTATACAGTAAAAAGCCGACATATAAATCTTGTATAAAAATTATGAGATTCTCAGGAAGAAATCTGTAAATTTCTTTTGTAACGTCTCGGCGAAAGGTATCCTTCGCAATCGGGAATCATCAATCTTCTCAGTTTTCATATTTTCCTTTTCACCATCACGTGTATAGAGTATTCAGTCCTTCTTCATAAGTATATTTAGGTTTTAGCTGCATCACCTGTTCTATAGCCACAACCATAAGGCACCGTCAATTGCCTTCGCCGTACTAGTGTGTTTAAATCCTCGTTTTCTGATTTTATTTAAAGCAACAACGTTGGACATAGTGCAGAATTGCACAAGATAAAAGTTCGTGGAGCTAAATTTTCTAGCATGAAATAAAATAGCACAAAAACATCATCACTCAAAGCACAAAAGACACTTTATTAGGAAAAGTGCAAAGGCACCCATCTTTCAAAAGAAAAGCTGTACGATGTTAATCAGTAGGCAAACCGATGTGGGGTGAGAGTGAATGAAGTATGAAGTGGCGTTCCGCGTGACACATATGCACGCATATATGATGGTGAAAGGGCACTTTTTGTTATGCCGTAGGAAATGCCGGTCCGGGAGTGTAAATAACTGAACTACAATTACTAGCAAAATAGTTGCGAAAATGAAACCTAGCGTTCAGTCTTATCCAAAATAGAACTGGTGATGTATTCTTTGTACTACCACAATGAATCGATAATTAACAAGGCCACGAAAATGCCGCCTCAATTTCACATGGAGTCAGCAGCCGACGCCAGAAGCTCCACAGTGCGGACAGGTGATGCAATCGCTGCTTTCGCTACAGTTGTGCGCTGGACAGCATTGGTGCTCTATTTTCATAAACTTTGCGATGATCGCTTTACTTTCGTGTCACTACATAAAACAGACAAATCGCGTAGATGAGTTTCTGAGTGGGTTGTAAGTCTTGAAAATAAGAACTCTGGTGAAAAATGCAGAACGTGTAGGTTGCTATACTTTCCGCTTAAAAGAAAAAAAATTGATTTTTAAACACCGGCAAAAAGCACATGATTATAAAGCACGGCGCACTGGGTGACTTCATTTATTTTTTATCATCTTAAGTCTTTAACCAAATTAAAGTTCGTGGTCATACTTTTTTGCTTCTTTACACTAAGCGAAACGCAGCTGCAGTGGCCTGATAAGCGCCCCTAGTCTCGATGCTTTAACATATCGTACTTCTTAACATTTACTTGACATTAGGTGCTCCGTGTACGCATTAGTGTCCCAGTGGTGTCACTTGTGATAGAAGGGAAACATCTGGGTTGTTGCATCTTCATTCACCAGTAAGAAATTACAATCTAATAATTGCACAGAAAGCCACATTTATGTTACACTTTGAGGCGTACTTTAACGGGTGATCAATGAATGATTATTCCCATGATAGGCCTGCCTAAGGTTCCCTTAAAAGGAGGACATTGAGTGCCATGGGTCATTGCAGCACCCCACTAATATCTGAAAATATGGAGCACAATTTGCGATCTCACTCTTAGGGGACAGAGTAAAGACGAGCGCACCCTGCCCCGCCCCCACCCGTGGGTACGTCTGTGACTGCACGTTGTGCTTTTGTAGATAGACTACGTGTTGTGCTTGAGAAATTGAAACTGAGGTGCTTCAAGTTTTAATTTTCGCCACGCGTTACCGATTCTGAAGATTTTGTTCAAAGAAATTTGAATCGCAGGCAACGACAATGTGTAAGGCAACGGTAAGTTTTGTGCACATACACATGCAAGTCGATTCAAAATCGGATTCCCTAAGTAGTAGAACCAAGTGGTGTAGCCAGTGGGTGGCACACCTGGCCCGTGCGACCCCTCCTCCCGTTTGCATGCGCGGCCCCCCTTCAGGTCAAGATGGTGCCCCCCCCCCCCCCCCCCCCACCTCCGCGACGAAAATCTCTGCCTATGCCCCTGGTAGAACCCACTTTCATACGACGCACTGCACATTTTTAATCAGCAACCTAAACGCGCCTTTTGGTTGTGCTCTGTTACAAAACCACCTGATAGAACTCAATATGTGTTCGACATCGACGTTCCAACCCACGCTTGTACTGTCTCAGAAGTAACGCTATACATGCGCAGATAGCACTAAAGCTATAATCTTGTGTCGCACCACGCGATCATTTAGGCACGCGAATAATGATCTCTTTAGCACAGTTTTGCCGCATGGTAGCACTCTGCGCAGCGTATGAGCCACAGTGACCATTAGGAGCTTTTACTGACGCTGGTACAACTCAGGCTTAGCCCCGCTTCAAGCACGCAAGCACGTGCTTCTTATTCAGAATAGCGAAAGCGGAGCGCAAATAATTCGTGTGAAAATTATGACGAAAATGCAATATGTCCTCTCCTATATACACTGCAGTAATTGCTCAACCGCCTACCAAACACCCTGAAGAAATACTGGTTTTAGATAGAAAGCAGCCGCGACTGGAAAACCTCTTACACACCTGGATATAAGAAAAAAAGTGATTCCTAACAGCGTACAACTGGTCGTTAGGTGCACCAGTAGAATTTCATGGAAAATTAAGTATGGCAGAAGAGTATAAATAATGAGTGTTTTGATGTTATCATCATGATTATTACTATAAAAATTTACGCAACCGACAAACAGTAAACGTGTTTATAAATGTAAATTATCGTTGGCAAGATTTTCAAGCTCAGAACGTAGAACGTAGGAAATGTCTATCAAGTCATGTTTTTGTCCGTTCGTGATAAGATATCATTCTCTGTTTTAGTAGATCACATATTGTGATAACTATGTGGTGAGCGCTTTTTTTGCGTTCGCTTCACTTCGCTGAGATGTTAGAACTTTCAATTTCGAACTGTACAGGTGTTACTTGTGTCACGACTGGCCAAATTCTGGTGGTAACTCTTGAGCGTTTTTGTAATGCTTCTCTTTGAAACAATGAACGATTAATTGGCACGTGAAAACAGATGAGTAGGCGGTGCCTCTAGAAAGCACCAGCATCTTGTAGACGCGTTTGAGTAAAGCAGCTTAGGGGGGGGGGGGGGAGAGTCATGTACCAAAGGATGGGCTTGAATTTTTGGTTGCTTTGTACGCTTTTAATGCGCGATGGTTGCTGATGAAAGCATGAGCGTAACCATCGTCAGGAATTTCTCAATACTGCTTAGAAGCATATGCAGAAGTCAAGGTAGTAGTTTAAAGTGATACCACGCATTTCAAACCTGGTTTATAGGCTGAAAAGCGATGCTCTTTTTTTTTGTCTGCTGTGAAATGAACGCAGGAATTGTGAACCAGTTCCTTTCCTGGAACGGATTCGTGCCGCTGAGCCATCTGTCATTCGGAGTGTACCTCATTCACTACCCAGTGTTCCTCCTCACGCACCACGTCGCCAGGGAACGCATCTTTTATTCCCATTTCACTTTGGTAAGCTACATCTTTGTTTTTTTTTTAAACTAGTGGCTTAGTGGTGCTCATCAAGCCCTTAGGAGCCTTTTGAAAATGCAGATGCATGCTTCAATCATTACTACGAAGCCTGTTTTTCGTGCCAGCATATAGCCACAAAATTGTGTAAATATGTCTACCATACTGACAAACGTTACTTCACTTGAAAAAATATCAAACAAAAAACGTTCAATAGCTGAGCCTTGCTCCTAACGTAGACACTTCACTGAACACGATTCACATAAATGTAATGTGGTTGTAAACAATAATTTAAAAATATAGTTTGTTCCACAGGCACTTTCGGTGAAAAGAGGCAATAGTCTCAGCGAAAGCATTTTTTATTTAATAGGAAGAAAAAAAATAGTAAGCAAAAATAAAACAGTTCCATGCATGATTCTCCGGTGTGTGTGTGTGTGTGGGGGGGGGGGGGGGGGGGTACGTGCGTACATGCGCACGTTTGGGGAGTGAAGCTCTTTATAGCATAACCTTGTGACTAGCCACACGTAACCGAGAGAAGAAGAGACGAGAAAGGAAAGAAGGCATAAGAAATGACCATGACTAGTTTTATTTTCTAGATGGCGTTACGCTGCCGCTACTCTTCGAAGAGCTGCTACTCTCCAATTAGCTGCTGAGTGCGTTTTGGCAACGAGTGCACTGCCTCTCTCAGAGTCCAGGATAGTCTCCTTCAGTGATGCCGACCCTAGAAATTTATCTCTAGATCTAGAGATTTTCCACCTCATTAAGTGATATGGCGTCTTTTTTTGTTGAATCTAGGGATTTTCATTAGATGGTTAATGTGACATTTCACGGACTGTTTAAAAGCATTACTAAATAACCCTTTTTTTTTTCAACTAGAAAGGCTGTAAAAATGATAATTTTGGCTATTTCATGTATTTATTTATGATTTTTTAGTATTTTCATGAATCGCGTGAAAGGACTAGCAGTTTTATATTGCGAGATCGTTATATTTTGCATATTGCAGAAAACTAAGCTATGTTGTCGTAAGAGTTAACACGTGCATATTATGAGCTCCCTGGGTGATTGGTGCTCTGTGAAACAAAGATAAGCTTTGTATTTTAGAGCACATAAACACGTGTCAAGATTACACTCACTGCGTGCCTTCACCAAACAATATCTATGTTAAATAATCAGGTATTCAATAGAAGAACAGAACCAAATAAGACTTAAGGCTTGGAAAGGTAGTACGGGTTCAATATTTCGCAAACGATGTTATGAAGCAGTCTGTCCGGGTTTAGGTGGTCTAAATTTCCGGAGCCCTCCACTACGGCGTCTCTCATAATCATATAGTGGTTTTGGGACGTTAAACCCCACATATCAATCAATCAAGCAGTCTGTCCGGGTGTTTCAATCTTTGCATGCTCTTTACATGAACGCGTGTATAAATTTGGTTAAACGTGGAGCTGATCGAAAGTACAGAGAAGAGGCGTAGCTATCAGCCAATAATAGAGCGCCCATTTACATCTTCTGAAAATGTTGCAACAGTGATTTCAAATGTGGAAAATTAAGAATAGAGCATCAGCTGTCAAGCGGCAAGTACGAGAAAGGCGCGACAGACTTGCGGTGTACCGAATACTAACATCTATGTCTTCGTTGATTGGTTTGTGGGGTTTAACGTCCCAAAACCACCATATGATTATGAAATACGCCGTAGTGGAGGGCTGCGAAAATTTCGACCACCTGGGGTTCTTTAACGAGTACCTAATCTTAGCACACGGGCCTACAACATTTTCGCCTCCATCGCAAATGCAGTCGCTGCAGCCGGGATTCAATCCCGCAACCTTCGGGTTAGCAGCCGAGTACCTTAGCCACTAGACCACCACGGCAGGGCAACACCTATGTCTTCAATGCGTGTGCAAAGTGAATTCGACATGCAAATCCGTCTCGTTGGCCACAGGTGTCATTTGAAAGCAATTTTATGCAACTCCAGAGAACGTGTAGAGCAAATACCCTAAAAATTGTCAATGAAAATTTTTCATTTTAATATTGTTCAGAAGAACTTGGATACAAAGCTGCCATCTTAATAATTTTTAAGAGTGAATTAGTCTGAATAATGACACTAAAACTATAACCTAGATATTTTTCTTGCAATCTAGGGATTTTTCGAGAGTCAATCTAGAAATAAAACGCCTATATGGGTTGGCATTACTGGTCGCCGTACGTAGCGGATCGCAGGTGTAGCATCGACGGAAGCGGCAGGCGCGTTGAAGACGCGCTCGGCTTTCCAGGCTCGCGTATCGCCGGTGTTACCCGTGCACCGTCTGCATAGTGCGCGATCAAATGCCTCTCTCAGTCTCCTGTATTGTCGCGTTCGTGGCTGATCGCTGGTGGGCCATGGACCTAGCAGAGCGGCGAGCGCATTCAAGATGCTTGCGCTCGGCTTTCTTGGCTAACGTCTCGTGGGTGATACCCACGCGCCGTCTGCATTCTCGAACGCGATCAGACGCATGGACGCATGCACAAATGGACGAACACACGGACGGATGGACGGATGTACGCTTCGCCCCACTCAACATCATTCACTCTGTGGATATGCTGTGAATGTTTTTCGGAGCGAAGCTTTCCAGGCCCACAATCCGCCGTCGCCGGCGCCACCGAAGCTGTCTTCGCCGGGCAAGCGCGCCCCCCTCAACAGGTACGCGCTCCCGGCGCAGCGGGAGTGCAGGCAGGGAGACAGATTGCGCGCCCCGCACACTCACTCACTCAGTCATTCCCGCCGATGAGCGCAGCAGACGCTCTCCTTACCAGCTCTCCATCGTACCGCCTTCATGAAAGCCAAAAGCTAGATCAGGCAGATGGTTAGATGTGTCCCATTTCTGAGCAGCTTAGCTCATCAAGGTTGCATTTTACACCGAATAACCGCTGGTTTACGTTCTGTGAACTTGCGCTTTTACAGCGAAGAATGCCGTAAGTGTTCTCGGTGTTCTACTCTATTTTCGTGATGCAGGCACTGGCAAATGGAAAATGAAGAGGGAAAGGCAGCATGGCATAAAATTTGCGACGAGAGACTGCATCGATAGAATTCCCAAAGTCGGTTCAGTCTCAATATACGCTCTATATTCTAAAATTTGTTGGCCTTATAAATATTAACTAAACCAATGAGAAATTACACTTCAGCTAAATAATTTTTCTTGTTCACCCGACCTAGAGGCGCTGTTATTGGGGATTCAACAAAAACGAGTGCGCAACATACAAAGTACTAAATAGTAAACATGCAAAAAAATCACAGAACACAAAGCTTGAAATACACCACTTAGCAATAATAATACAACATGGAAAAAATATAAATCAATAATTTAAAAACAGCAATAAAATAACATACACAAAAAAACTACATGCATAGGTTTGTATGGGGCACTTTTCTTTGTTTACAATAACATTGCGATCGCTTTCTGTAGTAGGAGGCAATTATTCCAAAAGCAACATTATTTCTCAAATACTGTACACGCTGTAAGATAAGTACGCAAGCGTCAAGATATAGAAAGGGAGGGTGTTGAAATAATAGTTCGTTTATGAGTACGCGCGTGCTGACTCCTCTTAGCAAACTTTGAGTAACAGCGTCGTAAATGGGCAATACTTTTTTGAATATTTTTGATTAGTCTGTGAAGATGTAACACACAATTTTAGTGTGTGTTCTCCACCACTGCTTCCGTCACGGCGGCACTTTTTTGAGCAGTTTCTTTCTCTTATAATGAATTGATGTCCAAGCCCTACGCCATCTGTGTCTCATTTACTTGTTTATTCACCCCTCTGTAGCGCAAGCTATTCAACTTCTTCACTTAACAAGCCTACCTACTGTAAGTAGTTCTGACGTTATTGCGGAAACGATGGGTCACTTTCGTTGCTACAGCACTTCCGTGAAAATGAAATCAACGCTAAGCGGAATTTGGCTTTTTATTTAAGGAAAGCCCGTAATCGCATCTCACGGAAGGCAGCGGTGGAGCGTACAGCATTCATGATAACGGCGTGGGTAGGGCGTTATCTTGTATAGAGGGAAAACACAGATTACATATATAATACATAGGAAGAACGGGCTTATGTTATAAAACGATGACAGTGCACAAAAACAACGAACGAATGGAATATTAATAGAAAAACTGGACCGAGTTCCACTAAACTTTTTAATCAAATGACATCGCGTGCAACAACCCAAAATATGCACGCGGAAATGCTAAATTTCACCTGGCTCGTCTACGCAATATACGTAACTAATACATGCCGCACGACGAATCAGCTTCCTAACTAAACTAAAATCCAAAGTTCCTCAATTTATATAAGTGTAAAAAATGAATTTAGTTGGTACATATGCCATAACAACGGCATATTTATGTGGAGCGCAGTAGTCGTTCCCACTGCAGATGATTTTTTTTTCTTTCATCTGTATTTGTTTACCCGTTTTAGATCGCGCGCAGAGGTGTAATCAACCCACATCAAAATACGACCACCATAACCGGAAATCAAACCCCCATCTTCGAACGTAGAAGCGCTGAGCTAGCACGAGGTGGTGAATGGGCACGCACGCATCTTTTAGGGTTCTGGTCGTAAATATGGCATAGATAAAATTGAATTCTTGGTGTCTCAAGAATGCTTTAGCCAGACCTAGATTGTGGATTGATATACACATCATTACGTGCCATGGAAATACGTTTTGACGCTCCTCCTGCATATTGAGCTGTGGCATATTCGTGCTCTCAGAAAGATGTTCGCAAAATCGCTGTAAGCTGCGCGTCAAATGAAAAATCAGAGGTGCATCTGAGGTAGTTACCTGATGATTGCACCAGTATCTAATTTTGACTTCAACTTGTTTTTTTTTTCAAGTGTTCATTGAAACAATATCAAGTTAAAACATATAGTTGCAAGCCTAGCTCTATTTTCACGAAGACACAGTTCGCACCCATTCCACAAAGCAACAGACTCTGTAGTCGATAGTGCTTTGACGTAGTGGATGGTGCTAGAAGAAGTAGTGGTTTCTTCGGTCCTTTGATGAATAATGGGACAAACAGCACTCATGATCTCGCCACATTGATGTCAGTCGACGTGCACGTAGAGTAACTACACGCGTATTCCATGCCATCGCGTGGTAGTAGTCTGTCTTAGCTTCACCAGGCCGCGCAAGGCCGGCATCACCCGGACATCCTGTTCCCTTGGGCTGGCCAGCTCCGGCGGACTTTCCAGACGCGCGCTCGTGGGTGGCCACAAAAACAATCATGTGACAGCTGTTGGGTGTCACTACGTTACAATTTGAATTATGCAAGAACGAATAATAATATCCTCGACTATACGAAATTCGAGATCCAACGAAAGATTCGCAGTGCATTCAGCATTTCTGTAAATTGAGTTTCAACTGTTTCTTAAGTATAAGAGGTTTACCTGAAAACTAAGGTGCAGGCTTATGTGCCATACGAGTCGAAACAAGCGCCCCACTGCAGCATGATTGTGTCTGAGTGGCAGTTCAGATGGTGGCAATCGCGCATGCGCTAAAATACCGGGCGAGGTGCAAAATACTTTGAGGGGGCGAGGTAATATTTGATATAATAACGTGAACTCGTTACACGGCCTATAAATAAAAAAAAACATGGCGCGAAGCTTTGACAGCACTAACAATATTTGAGTCAGATATCACGAATGTAGTAGGGCTGTTTGAGAGCGCCTGCAATCATTTTATCTAACAGGACAGTCTGTTTTCTTATGTTAGCGTTAAAGAGCTCCCTTCGCAGAAAGTCCAGTGTTGGCGTCTGTATCAGTGTCGTTAGTGGGGAGCAAAAAATTATTTTGTCCATAACTCAAAATTTGAGAAAAACGCGAATAAACTAAATAATAAAAATTCTCGGGTTCAAGTGACGATTGCACTCGGGCAGTTTTCGTGGCGACTAGTACGTTTTCCACTACCACACAGCTATGCGTCTGCTCGGAAACACCTTGAAGAGAATGTCTTCTGCTTTTAAATGTAGTGAAATTTGCGTTCATGCTTTACAAACACACCCTTTTGGCATATAGGTTTACAGTACAACATTTAATATCGCAGTAATATTTCTTGGTACAATGGAGAATGCTATCAGGCGTAATAATAGGTGATTATCATAACTACCTCGTGGTTTAAAGCTGTCCACTCATTACAAAAAGCACACAAGTTACTGCGGGTATTGCTTTAAGACATGTAGGGGGTCAATAGAAACTATTTTAGGCCACACAAATAATCATAGTATAAAACATACTGCGATTTACGCAGAATAGTGCAGTATGCGATAGCTTCACTAACACAAGCCATATTAAAGTGCGAATTACTACAATGCAATCGATAAAGTGTAAACTGTGTAAGTAACATCACACTAAAAGTATGCACCAAGTGGTTCAAATACTCTCTTGCGACAGAATATTGGTATCTCGTTGGACTTTTAAGGGGGGAAACTTAAGGGTTCCTCACATTTTTTTAGCCGTATACTCTGTTCAGTGTCTTGAACCATTGTTCTGACGCAGGTATCCCAATGCTTCGCGGTCCTTGTTTGGAGTTACATCCTGAGCTACTTACTCTTCATCGCATGCGAAGCACCAACTGGTCACCTCGAAAAACTTGTGTTCATGAGAGAACGACCTACCGGTGCACCACGCACAAACGGCATGGCAAATGGTGCAATGCAAAATGGCGCATGCGACAACAACACCAACCACCTCGCCGTCAGTATCATCGCTACCGGTACAATCAAGAGGTTTCTCAGCCGGGCTCCTACATCGAAGGGCGCAGCCGTAGCAGGCACCGAAGCAAGGCGCGCCATCAAGTGCAACAGATTCTGACGGACACTGCGTGAATAATCTCCTCTCTACGGACTCTACAAAGTGCTTCTACTGTGGAAACTTTATTCGCCCTGTGCCTCTTGTGAATCACGCTGAGGTGGACGCGATTAACCTCGAAAAAGGCACTCTTCCAACTTTTGGACGCTATAGGTGTGCAGGTGTGAAGAATGCTTAAAAAGAAGATCGTTATTGTATAGCCGATATACTTACCTTAATTAAATCAATTTGCCATTAGTCTTTACTCGCAACCACGAACTCTTCGGGCTTTTGACACACCTTGCTGTCGGCTAGCACTTCAATGCTCACCCCACTGCCGAGTCACGTGTAAGTGGCTAGCAGCTGTGTTATTTTGCTAGCCACCATCATTTGCTTTATGGGCAGCCGTTGAAGTGATACTTGCATTGAGGACGTTTAGTGTCAGCTAGAAGGTTGCATGATCAGATTGCATCAATGTAGAATGGATGCCCTTCTTGCCTGGTAGAAGCATTAAATCACTGCACGTATATGCAAAATAGGCCCACTGCTGCTCCATAAATATACGTCTTGCCACTCACCATTTCATTAGCACATCAACACATCTACAATTACCTTCCTTGTGATAAACTGTTTTCTCTTAAGAAAGTATAGAACACTTGTCCTACAACCACAGACGACATCGACCGCAGTTGCATGAAGGTCCATGCATTTATTGCCCATACACAAAGAAAACTGATTTTTGAATATGCCTATCACGAATACGTGTTTATAAGTAGGACTGTGCCACCAAATGATAAAGGACATTTATGATTCACAACATTTCTATGTTGCACTGACCCTGTTGTGGTTTTTTTCTCACATGGAGCTTCACTTTGTACCCACGATATGTTCTCTTAATGCATACTGTCCAACTTTGCATAGATGAGCATTGAAAACTTTGCTAGGAGCAACCATTGTAAGCTGTAAGTAAAGTATGCAATAATATATTTGTGTTCCATTCACCCAGCACTTGCAAGAAGTTCCATGTTATGTAAGATAGAATAACGCCATTCGTTCATTTGCTTTAGAAGTTACACAGCAAAATTTATATACGCCTTTACTAACATAGTCGTCGACTTGTAAGTGCTATGTTGTGCTTTAAAATATATTGCCTAGGAAGATTGACCACATATACTTAGTGCCATTGTGACGCCTTAAAACACTCTAGCTCGAAGCGGCTAGTAATTTGGGGCACTATCAAAAGTGACGCTTTTAAAAGTGTCATAACAACCCGGTAGATTCACGGTGTTGTAGGGATAACGATACGTGCCAATTTATAAGACATTGATAAAAATATTTCGTATCACATTAACCTGTCATGAATAAATGTAATATGCCTTCCTTTGCTCCGGTTCTAGTAATGTATAAACTACACAAATGTTGTTACAGATAAAAGTGAGTGAGCACCGATCGTGTTGAGAAATAAACAAATTGTTATACTCCCACAATTTGTTTTTACCTGCACTGAACATCACAGTTTTCTTTGTACACCACACACAAATAAATGCGCGTTTTGACAACTGCATATTGTGACTGCACATCACGTGCTGCAGAATAGACTAACGCTTCCAAGAACACTGCATCAGCACTTGATTGCCTGTCTGAAAAGAACGCGTGGATAAAATGTAACATCTGAGACTACAGAAGTGTTGGAAGGAGGCTGTAGTTTTCGATCAAGAGAATATCCAGACAAGCTGAAAATAATAGAAGGCTTTCGAATGACGTTTTTTGTTCTGTGTGCTTCCAGTGTTGAAATAAAATAACTGAGAGAACAGCCCTTTCGTAAGAATTAACGCTAAAAGAAAAGCGGGAATACACAACATTGCAAAGGTAAACCCTTTGCCCTGTACATTTTTGTCCTTCTACTCAGGATCAAGAAAATGGACAGTGCACAGGTCTCATGTTAAAGTAGTCAAGGTTGATTCGCAGTTTTCTTAGTGCATGCTATTAAACAGAACGGGACCCTGCCGAGTGGAGCGATAATTGTGATGATTTATTTGAGTAGGCTACATATACATAGGTGACCAATTTCTAGTGTCAGCCGTTGCCAACATATTTTTTGGCTTGTTTTTACAGTGTTATGAAAATCATCATCTCTTTAAGTAAAAAAGAAATCACTGAACTAGCTCCGAACCTTAAACTTGAATGAAGCTGTTGTCAAGGTTTCAACTCACGAAGTGCGAACGGCAGGACATTGTCAGCTATTCTGGGCATCACTCTGTTCATCCTGGCATACGTGTTTTAAAGTGATGACCAATATCTTTTCACAATTTTTACGGAGGCGCAAAACGCTACCCCTCCAGTGGTGGTTAAGCCTAGAGCGGTTGATTTCAGAAGCAAACGGATATCTTGTAAGCAGACTTGTTGCCACTAAAACATTGTAAGCCCCAAGTGCTCAAGTCATGTGGCAAGAACATATGAACAATGATTATGTCAAGTGGCTGTATAAGAGCCATCGAACCTTTTGTGCTAAAGATGGGTGAAGCATATAGAAATTGAAAGCACGAGGGCAGCATGAGGTGCGTATACAGAGATGTAAATATACTGAAAGCCCCACCTTCACTCAGGGGGATCAGTCAGCAAAAATTTGCAGGCCACGCGCCTGCTACGCTGAGTACAAGAACCGCCTTTAATTCACAACTCAAATAACCACAACCGGCCATCCGGCCCAACACACCACTAGCGTGCACAGAAGGATCAAAAGCCATGAACGAACAAATCCCGCAGGCTGGCGCTCACTGCAACATAGGTGCGCAACATAAAAAAAGCCAGTGCGAAACATAAGCGCAGCAAACGAAACACACATACAATACACCGTAGGATACGAGCCATCTGCTCGCCTTAGCGGACGCCCCGAACCGGCGTACTTCTGCACAGTAGCCCTCACGGAAGGAAAAAACCCCTCGCACTTAGCGCGACCGGCCCCGCATCCCATCGCTCGCCTGCCACCGAAAAAGCCTCCTGCCTCATCTCATCTCGCTCCTTAACGGCGAGCCACTGTTCCGCCCCTGTGGCTTTACTTGCAATAGCAAATATATGTACACTCGCGGCTCCATTTCGCCGCCAGCATCTACGTAGGCATTGTCGTAGATGTCATGTACCATATATGTATACGTATCTTTACATATGAAAACGCGAGAGAGAACGAAATAAAAAGAAAGAATCCAGTGCGTGGAATTGAACGGGAATCCTCCGCGTCGTGAATGCGAGAAGTCAACCACTGAACCAGCGAGGGGGCCCTCCTTGAGCGTTCAAATGGCACGATAAATAAATATACGATTTATTTTGGATCCTCAGGCTCATCGCACGCATGTGCAGTGCACAAGTGCTCTCCTCGCCCTTAGTCCACCGTGCAAACTGCAGATAAGGGCCCATCGGCCCGACACTCCCCCCCGCCCCCCCAATGAAATGATGAAGGATGGACACTTCGCTGAATCTCATAATTCACAGAGCAATAAAGGCGATACCAAACACCACCTAAAGTAGAGAAGAGTTAACTAAGAAGTGGTCCCTAATTAGTGTACAGAGCTGGCTGGCACCACAACATTTCATTATTAGTCGCATGTCTCTGTCGACACCATTTGTCAGGCACCACGACACATCACCACTCGTCGCATGTCTCTGTCCTGGGTTGCACCGAACGGAGCCTGCGCACCCGTCAAATATTATATCACAATTCGTGACCGGTCTTTGTCCCACTGGTTGCACAGAATGGAACGTACACGTAGCGTATGACGATGTTTACAGCAGCCTGTGCCAGCGTTCCATGACAGGCGTCAGCCTTGTGCGTTGTCCCGGACTAGTTGGCACTGAAGTTTCTGATGGTGTTGCGCGAAAGGCAGAATTACTTCAGCAAGACAATAAAAAAGCACCGCATCCTCATTGACAAACAACTCACACGCAGGACAGCAATTTGGGGGAAGTGGGGGAATGGGTTCGCGATAGTGGGGGAATGTGTTTACGCGTCAAGTGGGTGCTCGTGGTAAGCTTTGAGGTCACGCACGTTAACAAGGCCTGTTACTCGGCCACTCCATTTGTTTTTGAGAAGGTATACTAACCTAGAAGTTATGTATGGTATCACGTAGGGGCCGTCTGATCGCGGTGGGAGAGGGATGGCAAACCCTTTTGCCATAACACCGAGCGGATGCGTCCGGTGGAGCACCGCTACGCTGACCGTGAACCTCAGAGGTTGCCTACGCCTGTTATATTCATTGCAATGCTTCAGGCGGGCTAGTTCCAAGTTTTCTCTGGCTTCCCGCAAAGCTTAGCTCTAGAGACGGGAAAAATTTGCCGTGAACGTCACTAGTGGCAGTGTGGTGATTCTGAGCCATGGGTGAGCTTATGTTCGATAGGGAATTTAAGCTCGCAACCTTGGAGAATGGCTACCGGAGCAAAGCCAGTTGAACGATTCACTGTTTTTTGCATGGCGAGTTCCATTTTGTGTACGAAGGCGTCCCACTCCCTGCGCGTTCAGTGAAATCTACTAATACTATTTTGAGGTTTCTGCAAACGCGCTCAGTAATGTTGGCCTGAGGGTGGTAAGGTGTCGTTCTTTAGTGGTGTACACCAAGATTTTTGCAAGTGTCCGCAAATATTCTACCAGCGAGACATGTGGCATTGTCTTTTATTAGCTTCTTTGGAAAACCAAAGCGAGTGAACGTCTGCAGCAGACAACCCTAGATTACTTTTGAGTCAAGCTGGCGCAACGGGCACATTTCTACCCATTTTGAAAATGATCAGTGACTACTAACAAGGACCGACCCCCCTTAGCTTAGCTCGGGAACGGGCCCATTGTGTCACAGGCAACGATTTCTCCTGGATACCTGCTTTCCGCAAATTGCATGAGGCCCAGTGGCTTGACTCCTCTCGGTTTCGCTGTCTGGCAGGTAGGGAAATGCGAACGTATGTTACGATGTCCTTTCTCTTCTGCGGCCAGATGGTGACGTGATAAATTTTTTTCGAATGTTCTGTTGCAATCACTGTGACCAGCGAGGCGTGTCTCATGAAACTACACCGCGAAAGTTTTGCGTAAAGTCAGAGGAATAAAAACGCGGAACTGGGACTCCTCATCCCGCGGCTCAAGGGGGGGGGGGGGGGTATGTAACGCAAGGACAGGCCGTTTTCGGTTTGCTAGTAGCTGCCTTGGGTGTTTGGGGACCTTTTGTTATCAGTGGGGCTGGCATCACCCAGGTCACTGCATATCTGCTTGCACTGGTTTTTGCTTTTCTGGGCGTCAAGGAGCTTCTGCTGTCAAACCAGTGTTGCCCAGGCATCTCCGAACACTGTCACAACCAGGACCTTGGCGGCCGGTTTACCATTCCCGGACAGTAGCACTCGGGAAAGCAGTCAGGCACTTTGATGCCAGTTTCTTTCTTGTATTCGACTCTGTAATCATACTTCTGAAGAGAAAGAGCTCACTTTGTTAGATGACCGGGTAGGTTTGGGAGTTTTCACAGACATGAAAGCACCTGGTGATCGGTTGAAATTGTAAATGCAGCTCTATACAGATACCCAGGCCACACAGGATGTTGGACCGTTGTGGAGGATATATTTGCAGTTTCTCGCCCAATAATGGCTCAAGTTGACAACGTACCGCCAATGATGGCAGTACGAGCCGAATAGAACGGCGATGTTCGGCAAGCAGTTAGAAAGTTTCACAAATATTAGGTCTGCCAGTCTCAATAAATGGTGATTTCGGACCAACATTCAGCCAATATTGGGTCTGCCAGCGTATTATGATGGTCACTTTGTCCAAGTTGTACAATAAGCAGCCAAAGTGGGTGGAGACATGCAATTAGACTGGCGTTATTAGCCCGTTGTTCAAATGTTATTGGCGACGTCGGGTCAAGAGTCAACTTCGTTGGAATAAAATTGGGCCGATATGAGCTAATTTCTGTGTCTGTTGATTTTGGCTGTTCTGGTCCCACTTCATGCGCTAATTTTTGAAGTATCAGAGAGTAATATGCCAGGCACAACATAACAAATAAAGTTTGTCATAAAATCAAGCACTGCTCGTTGCTATTCATGAACGTCGATTGAAGTGGGGAAAGGTAGATCATTTAACTGAGAAAAATTTATCGAGTGAAGCCGCGTGGAAGCAGTTAAGCAACCCGAAATAGCCATTGCACGGCAGACTCACTCGAACTAAAACTCACCAAAATATTGCTCAGGCGGTCTCTCCCAGATGCATGACACAATCACTGTCAGTCAGTTTACTTATGGGTGCATTAGTTTATTATTAGCTTTTACAACTATTTATGCCATGACCTGACCGCCACAAACGACGACGAACTAGAGATCTCAACATAATACTCGGCGGCCACAAGTTTACCGCACTCGTCGACACTGGGGCGGACAATTTCGTCGTCAGTAGGTCATTCGCAACGAAGTTGAAGGAAGTTAGGAATGCTTGGCAAGGCCCTTAAACCCGCACCACTCGATGTCATCT